TTCGAGTATTTTTACGAGAATCAACGTAGTGATGGCAGTTTCGTGTGTCTTGAGCGTTTATTATATTTCTCACAAGGTAGGTGATAACGATCGCTGCAGTCCACTCAATACCTCGGCCCCCGCGTGACCACGCCTGGCCGCCGTTCCTCCACGTCCCTCTGATCACGAAGATAGTCACGTTCGGCTCTTAAAAAGTAACGGCACGTGGGGCGATGCACGTGACCATGCTTCGAGGCGGACCTTTCTCTCCGGCGAAGCGCAGTGTCTGTGTGAATGCTCGGTGTCGTTTTTATTTGTTCTTAAGTCGCTATTCTGAGAAGCCCAAGGACGTTTTTGGGCTTCGTTTAAATAAAGAATAATGGGATCTTTCCGAAGCTCATTCCATTTAGGTTAATAGAAAGTTGAAAGAAAATGTTTTCGAAATGGAAACGTATTGCATGTTATCCACGTATGACGTTAAAAGCTATTTCGATCACGGAAGTGCTCTTCGTTATTCGCATGCTGTTATTCAAATAACTGTGGTAGTTGTTATTTCTGTGCAATTGTAAAAAAATCAATTAATCAAGAACGCAAAAAAGCTACAAATTAAATATTTAAAGACCAAGTCAATTAAAATTAATATAGAACATTGTATTGGAGATGTTTGACGCAAATCCCCTGTTGACGCGAGATGGTAGTCGGTCCGGATTCTCATTCCAGTTGAAACCGGATGAACCCCATTCAGGACCTAAAACCATTCCTACACCACCTGTACTAATTCCATAGCCAACTGAAGTGCCAGAACACCAATAATCAACCAAGAATTCACACATATTTCTATGCGTTTGTTGATAAACTATGTAAAGCGCCATATATTCACCAGCACTGCTGTACTAATCATCATCCTTCACCACGACACAGAAACCTTGACGCATGCAAGTTGGTTGTTTAACACTCCAAACCATATCCCAACTTCTCGATTTAAAACAAAAGAATAAAAGAACTGAGCTCATAGGACGTCATTTGTCATTATGTTTCACCCATCAGTCTTCGAGCAGTCGTGTCTGCTGTAAATGAGCCTAAATGTGCATGGAGACGTCTCACGAAAGTTGATGGCGAGCTGTATTCAAAGTGATATCGAGCGCCCGGACAGTGTACAACCGCTCGCTGCTGTTGTGTACATATCAGTATTCCTTGAACAAGGGAACTAAGTGGAGCTACAAGTAGAACAGCTTTATCGTATGAGTACAATTATTAATCAATAATATTGCACCTCCTATGAAAAACATATTCAAACGACCCGTAAAAGACTAATTTTTAGGAAGAAAGTATACAAAAATAACTAATCATCTAATATTGCCTTAAGAGATAAATTAAAAAAAGAACATCTCAACCTTTATAAAGCAGTTGAGCACGATTTCAAAACAAATTTTAAACTCTCCAATGTTAATTAGTTTTTTTATGATATTATTGATTTATACCATTTTTGGAGCAGTTTTCGAGAAAAAAACTTCAAAGGAAAATAGAGCAGTTTGAGAAACATTTCCAAAATGTAGAGATCCATGTGAATATTCTGTAAAGACTGACAGACTGTAAAACAAATATTTCTATAATAGGCTTCAAAACCTAGATTTCCAAAAAAAATCATGAGATAAACTTTTCTCCAACATACGAGTCTTACACACGAAGAGCCAAAAATATCTGTACAGGAATGCGATTGAAATAGATCTCAAACAATCAGAATACGCCTCAGGCCCCAACGACTGTATAATACAACAAAGATTTGCACAATATCTGCCACAGTTAAGCACAGAGATAGTCTGAATCGGTCTACTGCTAAACACAATGACTTATCACAGATTAAAGCCGGAGTTGACTGATGTTATAGCGGCGCGTAAGAAAGTTGGCATAGCACCTCCGAGATCCGATCAATTTGATTTTCTGTACAACCATTTCACGAATGTGAATATTAAGAAACCTGGTAAACATCAAACTCCGATAGCGCCTCGCGAGATCATGCAAAAACGGAGTCGGCTGATGACTGATGGAGAATCATTAAACGTGACAAAGTGCATCCCTTCACGCCAAATCTACTGTTTAGTGCTGGGACAATCCAACAAGCTTATCGTGAAACCATTCAACGAGACATTATCCTATAGGAGTTCGATCCGAGGCCCATAAGTTATCTTTTATGACTGCACAGGACACAGGCTTTACGCCCTCGCCTTAGCCCGTCAACATTGACGTTAGACCGTTGATGACTGGAAAACGTTGCCAATTCTGACGTAGTCTCTTTCACATGTTTCACGGCTTCGAGACATTACGAGTATGTTGACAACCTCTGAATCCTTGTACCATAATGTCAAAGGGCTGTTCAAGCTGGTGGAGCTCTGTGATTATAGGGTCTGTGCAGATGGAGTGGTATGGGACCCCTAGTACTTCTAGATACAACTCTGACAATGACACTTAACGTAATGATCCGGTCTGATTCACTTGCATTCATTCATGTGGCATCCCGACGACTTAGGCAAACTCCAGCACATTTTCAATGCACATCCCACGAGTCCAGAATTGCGACAGAGTTCCAGGTAAAAACTCTTCTGAATTTAAACCCTGTCCAATGCCACCAAAATCCCCAGACAATAACATTATTTGAGCATATCTGGATGCGTTGCAACGTGCGGTTTCAGAAGAATCTCAACCCCCTCGTACTCTTTCGTATTTATGAAAACCTGCATGGTTCATGGTCCATTACCTTCCGAACTTACATCAGGACATTGAGTCAGTTCCAGTGCCCGTGCGGTTGCGGCACTTATGCGTGCTCGCGGGAGACCTACACAATATTAGGCAGGGGTACCAGTTTTTTGGCTCTTCAGTACATATTCTACGTATTCGAGAAATTAATATAATATAATAGTTTATGTATAGAAAATAATATTATACATTTCTTGGTTTTAAAGCCACACACTCTCATGATCTCCATGAGTCATAGTTTTCCCCGAGAGAGACAAATTGCAAGAGTGGTTGAGCAAGCCGGCAAGTTATTCTACTATACCTGATTTGTAACATGTAAATGCTCATTTTGGGTCCTGATACAAGTGTCATTAGTATTATTATTTTAACCGGGTTTATTCATCAGTATTGTAATGTTTATGTTAAGTCGGCATCTTTGTCATGCTATTACTGACGTAGTTGGACCTGCGATGCTGACTAGTTTTAATTGCTCTGTAATATTCTTTAATCTTTGTTTCCTGTCTATTCCAAGGGGCCGTTTCTATTTTTTTATTTACTGGCTGATTATCCGGCGTTGCTCACGTATTTATTATTAAGCTGCCTCACCAACCATCCACCACTCCCTATCAGGGCTACCATGGCCGACCTGCCCATTCCTCCGCTCCGCCCAAACAGTTCCTTCCGCTCTATCTCTTCTCTTCTCTCTTCACGCCCTGTCCGCTTCTTCTGCTCTTTACGCTATGCGCATTCCCACTGCTCAGCTAGCTTGCTTTCTCTGCCTCCTTTCGATTTTTACGCTTCTTCCACTCCATTCATAACATATATTCCGCTCCTTTTGCTCATCCCGCCACTCCCATTCCTTTCGCTCCTCCTGCTTCCCTTGTCACTTGCGCTTCCCCTTTCCCCTTCGCTCCTCCCACTCCTATCGCTCCTTTTGCTCCCCCTACTCCTTTCGCTCCTTCCACAGCCTTCGCTACTGCCGCTCCTTTCGTTTCTGTCACTTTCATTTCTCTCCCTTTAGTCTCCAGTCGCACTCTCTGCCCCTTTCGACATTCTGCCCCATTGGCTCGCACTACCACTTTCGCTACCTGCCCTATTCGTTCCCCTTCCGCTCCCCGTGTCCCTCTAGCTCCTTTCGCTGCGTCTGCTCGTTTCGCTCTTTTCGCCCTTCCCGTTCCAAATCTCTTTCGTTCCTCCCCTTTTCTTCTTCCCACTCCTTGCGCCGCTCTCCCTTCATTCACTCCTTCTTCCGTTTCTTCCGCTTATGCTGCTCCATTTGTTCCTTCCACTCTTTTCACTCCAGCTCATTTCGTTCCCCACACCCTCTCCCTCCTCCCACTCCTACATTTGCAAATGCCTGACTCAGCTTCTATCATCGTCTTGTGTGTAAACATTCCGTTGACTGTCCAACAACGCCCCTAAAGACTCTCGTTCTGTTCTAATTAAGTGAATAAATAGTATATCAGATTTTTATAAAGTATAGATAGTATGAAAGTATTTTTATGTTTCTTCGTGGTAAACATTTATTCTCTAATATTGGTCAAGACAATTTCTGTTTTCAATATGAAATGGAAGTACTGGCACTATCTCTCATCTACATGATGCTATATATTATTCAAAATTATGTTTAGCCGATAGAAATATTACCATAACATTTAAGGTTTCTGCAACTAATCGAACACAGTTTCCTTTCTTGCTAAGTTTTAAATGACTAAATATGTAAGAGGGTGAAGTAAATATTGTACAGTAGTAATTGAAACAAGTTTCTTTGCAGTTTCTTTGCCTGCATTGTGCACTGTGTACAGTAGTTTCTTTGCCTGCATTGTGGTTTGAAAATCGTTGTTGAGAGCTGCATTATTATTTTTTCAATCGGTTTTTGAGACCTTTTTGTTATTTGCTTATTTTATTATATTCGTATTCCATGCGTGCTTCTCTAGTCCACACTCGAACGATCGGTTTTCAAGTTTTTCTAGTTGTCGCTGTTCGGTACTTCATTTTAAAAACTTTATTTTAGTATTTGTAAAAGTTGATGTTTAAAATTGTGTATCCGAACAACGCAAACGACGGCAGTGGCAGATGCTTTGTGGTAGTTTTGGATTTAAATCCCACATAAAACGTTAACTGTTTTTACTTTGAATCAACATAATATTGTCAAATTTTTCAAAAACACCCAGGAAACGCAAGTATCAATTTTCATTTCACTGCATGTGTTCACTTACATTCCACCTAGGATATTGCACTAGTATATTTTTGCGCTGTGTCTGACAATCCTTTTTTTATGTGCGCAGCCGAGATCAGAGCTCCGTGGCGAAGGCGGAGGCCGCCGATTGGATCTCGAAGGGCATGGAGGCCCTGCGCCAGACCAACCAGCACGGTCAGTGGCATGTCTACGAGCAATACGCAGGTTCAAAGCACTCCCAGATGCGCTCTGATGGCGTTCGCAATCTGTGTGTTTTTGCTTCTTCCCAAGTACAAGACGGTTCGATTTACCCCCGAGCTCCTGCGGCACAGGGCAAGCGAATGGGAGGGAACCGGCCCGTCAACAAGTTTGCGGTTTGAGGCTTGCCTGCTACCTTGCTCGCAGTGTGGAGTGTTACCGACTCACAGACTGCTGTACAGGGAGCAAGTGTGGTAGTGTCGTTAAGAGGGGTGGAGGGGGATAATGTGCATTACATAGGGGATAGTCAAAGCTGTTGACCTCGGATAGGGCACATGGGATGTTTGGGATCATAGATTCCATGTGTATTTATAAAAACATAAGGAAATATGTATTACTTGTTTCGAATACGTGAAACAATGTCACGGACTATTAGTTGTAAACTTTTAATTTTTACACTGTGACACAGTTGAAGGCGGAAATAAAAGAAATGAAAAAGAGAGGATGCATTTCTTAGAACTCTTAACTTTGATTCAGCTTTTATTTGAATAAAAAAAACTGTATCATTTGAGATCGAATCCCTCGTATTTGGCCCGTAGCGTGCATTTGGCCAAGGGATCGAATGCGGGTCAGTCGCGGAAAAACTCAGTATTCTAAAATCACGTAATCTAGTATCTTGCGTTCATTCATAATTTCGGAGGTTATTAATTTATTCATAAGAAGTTGTTTCATTAAGCATGACCTATAAACACAGACGTGCAAAACTGCAGGTTTGTTGGCTTTCAGGATACGGTTAAACTCGAGGTGCGCAAAGTCGGACGGGTGAAACTGTCATGTTTCTCAAAAGTGTAAGGGCTTTTTAACGCGAAGTAAGTTGCGGTGCAACACACAGTACATTGACATGCCTCGTCGACATGTCAAGAAGAATAGTTGGTCTCTCCATGTTGAGGATATTTCTTACAACTGCCTGGAACTCAGTTTAATCACCATCACTATTATCATTAATTTTAGAGAAGAGTTCGCTACACGTTCGTCTTGTAATCGTGGATTCATTTGATGTTGACACAATATGAATAAGAGAGTAGCAAAGCTACGGTGAAATGAGTGATGAAAATGACGGACGATATAAATTTTCGTTTTCATTTTGATGGGAGATAGTTAGCAAAATTCAATAAACGTATGTATTTTTATTAGAAAAGAAGCATAATACACTTATGTTAATGTATAGGTATCTCTTGCTGTATATATGTCAATACTCCCCTAAGTATGTAGAATTCTTTAAATAGATCAGAAATTTAGAAGTGATCCAAAGAATAAAATTTGTTTTTCTTGAATAAAAATTAATTTTTTTAATGTATATAATGTACATTTATTTATTATTTAAATAGTACATACATAACATTTAATTAGAAGGACTGTTGGAATTTAGATTATAGAATTAGTATGATTTAGATTATTCACTGATAAATTTATTGGAGATAAACCGAAACGTCTTGTACATGCATGCGCCATTTTAACTAACAAACTGTTGTCATATTTTCTTCAGGTTCATTAATAATTTGATGTGCACGTTTCATTGAAGATATAGATATGTTGGCTCATCTGATGCTTTTTTTTTGTAACATCCATTTTCTGCCCAAAATGCACTTTTTATCGGAAATTTGTATGGTCAGTTTTCGCCTTCCGTAATTTCATTTTTTCTTTTAACTTGCACTCGATTGTTAAATTACAATTCATTGTTATAATAAAGCAAATGCTGAGATGGCCCCTTGTTTTGCTTCTGGACGTAAATGTACATAGCTTCACTATGCGCACGTTTTGTTGATCTCTCCTTTTGCTTGTAGTAGTAGGAGTAGAGGTAAGGGCGAGTTTTTTTTTGTTTTTCAATGCAGAAAAATATCAAATCTGCAGTATGTTTACCGTTGCAAATAAGTTTTCTATTCCTCGGGAACGAAAATTCTTAGTTTTTCAAATGTTGCTAATAACGCGCTTTTTTTAAATTTTATTTGTATTTATTTATCTTTTAATCACCTTTCAATTATTTATAGTTAAAATGATGAGAAGGAATTTTGGAACTCAAGAAAACGTGCGCTGATGATCTATACAGTTTTTACTGTTTAGATGTTACAAAGTCACATACAGCTTTTACTGTTTTTTTACTCTCTAAATCTATAAATGTATTGTCAGACTATTGTTTATATCATATTTACATTAACAAAAATATTTAATAATTAAAAAATTAATATTGAGAATACCTGCCGTCTAAAATAGCAGAGCAACCTTTTTTCAAATCAATCCAAAATTGGGAAACAAATGAAGTGAAAAAGCCCCGAACGAACTTCTTTGAAACGAATACCTACCTTTCATTCAGGCAACACATGAGTTTATTTGGTTTAAGTTATAAAAACATTGACGTTTGTACATTTTCTCCATATAACAAGAACTCCTTGTATTGAATATATGCGGTGTGTGGCTCCTTGAGTTTCGTTATAAATAATTTATACAGTAGATAGTTTGAGACGCAGATGCAAAGTTGTTGTGACGCAGATTTTTTGTTCAAAGCAATGAGTTTAATTCTTCGGAGGGTAAATTTAAAAATGTCACTTTTAAGTTTTAATTCGAGTAATAGTTTCCGTTTACGTGTTTGAAGAATGTGACGCCGTGACATGACGTCATAGACGGCAACCCGCAGTACTAGAATGCTCTGGGGTGCACTTATTCCTCGAGGACAATGCCAGGGGGCTGCTATTTTTCAATGCCTCTATATCATTGGCGTATTTCGCCGGGCAGTCTTTGAGTATGGCTTTCTATCTATTGATAAATGATATACTAATGTTCGGTTGAAACTTCCGTGTCGACAGGTTGTGTGGGAACATATTATAAACCCCTTCCAATTTTTGGTGAAAAAACAACAACATGAGAGTGGCAACGAAAATCATACTTTGAAACCATAAATGTTTACTTTTATATTTTCATCTGTCTTGCAGAAATTCTATGCACATATGATTTTGCTAATATTTGTTTTTAACTACGTCGACTTTTTTGTCTTGTCAAAATAAAAATATGTTTGTGACAATTTGCACGAAGCTTAGATGCTTTTGATTGCAATAACATAGCTTTAAATTTCAACAAATTTAGGAGATCAAAATAACGTAAATTATATAGCACTAAATTAAAATCATAATATACGAGGAAATTAGTGAGGTGAACAAAACGAGATCTAAACGCTGAGATCTATGTAATATTGTGCTGAATTCAGGAGTTCTTAAAACACGTCTTTCCGCGTCGTTCCCATGAATATGTTTTGATAAACGCAGTATAGATATTTCGAACATTATTTCTTATATTATAATGAAAAAGAAACAAACAATTTTCCTTGAAGACACTATGGTTTGAAAAAAATTAAGAATTTATACTTAAGGAGGCTGGGGCATATTTGAACCATTTCTCTTATGTATTTTTATTACACTCATTTCAAGCAGGGATTTCCAACGGGGTCCGCATAGACCCTCTGGGGGCCGAAGAAATTTGGAAGGGGTCTGTGATGATTAAGCGGTCGGTGATTGCGGGTCCGAGTATGAACCAGCGCCTAACCAGAATAAACGAGATACCATTACATACAAAAAATAATGAACTTAATTGCTTTCTGATAAAATGAACTACACGTGTGATAATACAGTAAAATGTCTAAGCTGGAATCGTTCGGGTCACAAAATATCCGAGTTAGGAAGGTTTCCGATTTATTCAAGGTTGCCCATTTTACGACACTTGTGATATTGACGTTTCTGATCCGAAAGTAGAAAATTACACGACTTTATTATAGTTATTAAAATTGAATTAACATATAACGTATAAATAAATTAATATTAAATACTCTTAATTAACAACTTTGAAACTGAAAAATACACACCTTACTGACTGTATTCGGACAACTTGTTGACTGACTCTGTCAACGCACAATGGGTCACACTCCTGTACTAAGACTTTCTGATACGAATACCATCGCCTGGCCTTGAGCAATACGTGAGGTGCTATGATTTTTCAACGTGGGGCAGGGAGACGCGTGAATAATAGCCATGACCGTACACTTTCTCACGCTCAGAGAGTGGGGAGAGAGGGAATTCCCCTTCAGCCTACGTCTTGAGACACAAGGTCCCCAAGGTCGAATTCTACGCTGACAGCTGAAATACGTCTCCTTCCATGGCCGAGTGCCACGAATAAGGATAGATAATTTTAAAATAAGCTTTCAGAGGCATTCATATCATTAAGATCATTTCACGTCTTTCTGCCAATTGCATTAAATTCATGGAAATTCCGTATTATAAAGATTCCTCCCCCCTGCTGGACATGCAAAACCATTCCGTTTCCGCGTTGGAGAGGTTCCGTTTTATGCTGTGTAAAATGCCATTTAACTTCACGGGACGAAGAAATTTTCCGGTCGAGGCAGGTTTTCGGTTAATACAGATTTTACTGTACATTAAAAATTCGCTCCTTTTCTTTCGTATCAGAGTGTCATTCTTAGGAATGACGATGTTTAGAATTTCAAAAAAATCTATGCATTAACAACAATAGACTACCATGCTAGAAATCTCCGCTATACGAATCGAAAAAATGCAATGGCCAGTTCTTAAAATGCACTCATTTTTTTGTAACCCTTGGATTTAAAAGAAAAACCCAAAAGCAGAAGTGTCTTCGATAATTGGAAATTCGAGATATTTTGAAGAATATTAGTGTACTAAATTGTTATCTTTAAGGCATTTATGTGCAATTCATTGTGTCATTATGGGTATTATAGAGACGCGTAACGGTGTCGATGAAGCTAACAATATTTTTTAAAAAAGATCAATGAAAGAAAAAGGCCGTGGTTCCTGATTTAAAGTATAAAATAAAGTTCAAATTTGTTTCAAAAAATGCCCCTTTTGGCACAAATATTTTTATCGCATTTTAATTTACTTCTTTGCTTTTTGAGGTGGGAAGCAGAAAACTAAGTGGTGTAACATGTTTAAAACTGTCCCACCAGTAAGGTAGAACACTCATGGGGTATCTTTCAGAACAGATTTGCTTTTCTGAGTACGTGACTACTCTATGGATTCAACTTCTATTTAGTTTTCAACGACTTCTTTGCTTCGCTTTGAGAAATAGAAAACTCATGGTTATAAATATTTCGTTGTTGCACTACGAAATGTTTGGCTTGAACCTTGGGGTTGAGATGCATTGAGGATACCATTAGACTATTCAATTTCTTTCTTGTCGCCATTACCGACTGGGGTGTCTCGGGTCATTAACTGATGTCGTTCAACGTATTTGTCCGAGCGGTCCTAGGGTACGAGACCCAACGATAGCAGGATTTTCGTGAGAAGCTAGAGAGCTAGATTAAATTCAGCCGCTGTGTGGAGGAGAAATCTAGTGGCCGGCTGCTCTGATCGCTCTGCTCTGCTCTGGACGGTAGTTTTCCGTGGTTTCTCCGATCAACATCAGGCGAATGCCGGAGCAGTATCCTAACAAACAGTCTACGGACCAAGTGCAGTCTTACCTTCCCGTTCCTGCAATATCCACATCCTTAACTTACACACACACACACACACACACACTTACAAACACTACACATCACACATACAGGAAGGCCAGTCGGAAGCTTAGTTTGTCTCAGCTGGGGCGGTGCCCTGCTCTTGGGAGATACCTGCTTGGGAAAACGTGAAAGCGGGAAGGTCTGCTCCGAATCTTGTAGCCAGTAAGGGAAGATCACCACAAATTCCGCGAACACTTGCGGGACAAATGACCTTAGCAGGTGCCGTACCCAGAAACACGAAGTAATCAATCAATCGCCGCGTTTTTCTGAGAACAATTTTTTGCGTGTTTTTGAAGTTTGACGCGCAGATAATCTGAAAAATTACCAATTACTTTCTTATACTATCTATGAAAATAAATTCACTCACCTACTGAAAGTAAAATTAAGAATGATTGGCGAAACCATCCGCTTTGCCAAGGGCGTCATTTTATGTTGGTTTCTCTAGTGAAACAATCATTAAGTGCCAAACGGGATTGCTTTCCGTAACATCGTTCATGAAAGCTAGGTATTAAGTGTCAGATTTATGCACACAATTTTAAAATGTTTACATAGATCATATATATTCCCGTAGATCTATTCAAATGAACCCTGATTGATCAAATTAATAATATCCTCGCGCCACACCGCTAGGAAACGTATCTCTCTTTTTACTGGATGATCTTTTTGTTGTTGTTCAATGACACCTGAACCAATTTCGTGGTTTTTCATTTCTTTAACTACAGCATTCTTGCAAATGCAGAGTGGATTTCATAATTCTCACAGTACAATCATCGCTTCGAAAGGAAACACACAGATTGATAGGCTGTTTGAAGTCAGAGCATCTAATGCAATATCCATCATTGGGTAATTTCTCTCTCCTCCTTTGTACAACTTTGCAAATTGGCGAAGTTCAAATGTGCCCTTAGTTCAAATATGCCCTAATCTCTCCTTTTCAAATTTGTGAATTTTTAATTCATTCTTGTTTACATATTTTATCAGTTACATGAGTTTTTAACCCCTTTTAACTTGCAACCCTACAGGTTTGTTAAGTGTACTTGTACTAACCAGTTTGTTAAGAAATATAACATCCTCAGAAACGTAAATAAACAATCTTTGATTCAGCACAAGTCAATTGCTTGTTAAAATACATGGCGATGTACTGAATAAATTAGTTCAAACAATTCAGAATAAAAGTAACTCTGGGTAGTTTTTGAGATAATTATTGTTAATTGTAATATTATTAATATAATAATTAGAAAAATATATAAGGTAAATTAACCTAATTTTTCTGGCACTCGACCAAATGGAACTCTTTTCCGGTAATCATATTTATTGAAAGGGTCACCACTGAAAGTCAACGCACCAACTACCTCACCCAACATCATTTCTTTAGGTATCTTTAGATTCAGGATAATTATTTGCACCCGTCTTTCTGGAACAACGGTATACGAATATTGTTTCAATAGATATATCGCGAGCAGTACCCCACCATTCCATATAAGGTGCCGCAGCATCAGAATTCATTTGTTTACTGTCGCATTTATATTGCATGTAAATCGTGAGTTTTTATGGTGACCGATAAAACGCTGAAAACACCACGAAATGTTACTGCGTCGTCCAAATTAAAAATCTCAGCTCCGCTTCGCACCGCCTCGATTTTTAACTTTGACCTCTGCTGTAATAACTGTTATAACACTAAGTGTAATGGTGTAGTTTGGAAAAAACTACGTTCAATAATAATTCAGTAGGAGACTATTTTATCCAACTGTTATCATACCTTCATGTTTTATATATTACTAAAATAATGGAAGATGTCTCAAAATTATTTTAAATAGTTTTCACTATTAGGCAGCCAGTAATTGGTCTCGGAAAAAATCTTTGTAGTTTGTAAGAACTTATTTATGTAGCTTATACTTTTTTTAGTATTTTCCTTTAACTTTGAGTTTAGTGAAGTTTTTGTTTTGTTCCATGCTTTTTACAACAATCATACTTTTTAGTATTCAATTTTTTACTAATATTGTGAATGCATATTATTGTTCTCATGTCTTGTATATTAATTATTTCTACAAATCAATTTTTATTATATGTATCATATTAAGTGAAAAAGAAAAGGGGATATAAAAAGGGATGGGAAAACTGAAAATTTTCTCTATTGAAAATTTGAATAACATATTGAAACGAACTAACTCTTAGACAAAATACTGAAGCATGCGGACAAATATTCGATTATTGCGAGGGTGGTGATTCTGAATCTGCATCATCAAGATCTTGAAACACGACAGTGATAGTAACTGTAATTCATCTCATTCGTTTTTTGATTTGACCTTATTACAATGTCGAGAATAAAACGAAAATTAAGAGGAAATAAACGCACATTAGAGTAAAAACAAAACGAAAGCCAAACTCCACTACTATTTATTTTTAATAATACTAACAATCATTTTATCTTTCTTTATCATGTGAAAAATATGACGAATGCGATTTGTCAGAAGGCAGATTTTTAAAAGACAACTTTCATTATCTCAAAATGGGCGTTTATTTTTTTTCTTCAATCACTGGTTTGCTCGAAGACGCAGATAAGGTTATTGCCCAATTACGAAAATAAAAAAGAAGTAGGAACACCGAGGCTGGTTGGCTCATTGGTAGTTTTTAATTTTTTACGCAATTCCTATTTAGTGTTTGTGTGGTAGTAGATGAGTTTGATGTATCTAAAAATAGTACATTTATTTGGCTACGTTATGGACATATTTTGATTCGTGGATGTTTGACTGTCGTTAGACGTAAAGTCAATTAGCGCCAACCAACGCCACTTGTGAGGGTGGTTGGTAGTGGCTTTGGGGTTTGTTGGCACACCAATTCGGCGAGAGGTTAGAGTAATAAATCAATGACAAAATGAATAATTTTTAATGTATTATTTACTTAAATAAATGCAAACCACATTATCGCCGTTTGGTTTTGCAGAACAACCTGACATTGGCAACTACAACAGTTTTAGTGATTTCAAAACGAAGTATTAAAATGTCAATAGAGCATTTCAGTAATGTAACATGGAAAGTACTTTCTTGGACTTTTTGATCTGAAGGCACAATATCGATTATTACAGTGTCGAGTATCTGACCGCTACCAAACTTCGCAATGGTTAAGAGGTCACTACGAGAACAAAATCGTAGTTTGGAAGTAAATTAATAAATAAATTTAAAAATTATATATTTTAGCCCAGGAATTTATTCGAATGATCTGTTAATTAATTGACCATTCAGATTCACATCACCAAGTTAGTTCTAAACTGCAGGAATTTTGTGAAAACTACGAAAATGCTTTAATTGTGGCCTCTTCTGGTGCCTTTACAGGTGTGAATAAAAATATAGGAAAAATAGTTTAATTTTGTGGAAATTGTTGAAAGACGTAGGATAAGTCTAATTGAAACTGTGCCAACCAACCCCAATTGAAAAGTGCCAACCAGCCTCGAACGGGTATTTTGATTAAATGGGGCTATTGAGGTGACGATCTAAACTAGTGGTGCAAAATAATTGCCCAGTTTTTGGTGTCAATTTCTTCCCTATACATGATTTTAAATTAACACGTCTAGTTTATAGACATACTAGTTTTTTTAGTAAAACATTTATTTAAAGGCATACTGGTTTAATTCTTATTTTTATTAATAAACAATGGATAAAATTAAGAATTTAACATGTGTGAGTTTAAATGAATATTTTATTAAAACTAGTCTGTCTATACGGAGGCGTTACTTTAAAATTGTGAAAAAATGCCCAAAAGAGAGACATTAATTTTTAATTTTTAATAATGGTTTCGCCGTCTCAAAGCCTGGCAATTGCATAGTTGTAACTTCTAGGCTGTCCGGGTGACGCCGCGTCGTTGGCAGATAGTTCACTACCCTGAAGAAGCCTGCGACATGACAGGCGAAACGTCGGCCTATCTGCCAACGACGCGGCGTCACCCGGACAGCCTAGAAGTAATGAACTGGAGCCGCGGAAGCCTACGTGTAAATTGCGTAGTTGTGCAGAGGCTGTTGGAGGGCGCGTGGTTAACGTAGCCGTGCCGCGCGCGCGCGCGCGCGTGCGTGCCCTGCAGGGAAGACGAGCCAGAGCAGCGGGCCGGTGCACGCGCAGCAGGGCCAGGGGCTGGCGGCGCTGCTCGTCATGATCGCCGTGCTGTGCTTCATCGTGGCGTACTGCTGCTGGGGCGCGCCGTGCTGCCGCGCCTTCTGCCGGCGCCGCTGCTGCTGCTGCCACATGGCGCGCGACCTCGAGTCGGCGTCGCCGTCCGACGTGGGGCTGAGCGTGGAGCCCGGCGTGGGCGCCACGCCCACCATCATCCTGCTGCCGTACGGCCGCATGCTGGTGGTGGACGGGTCCGTGTTCGCCCAGCTGCAGGCGGACACGAGCGGCCTCGACCTCATCGAGCTGGGCGAGAACGTGGTGCGTGCCCAGCAGCAGCAGATCCGCGCCTCGTCCACGCCCTCCATCCTGGACGTGGACTCGGAGACGACGAGCAAGGGCTTGGACTCGCCCGTGTCGGCGGGCATGCCGCCCCCCACATACGAGTCCATCTTCGGCTCGGCCGAGATCCACGACCTGCCGCCCTCCTACGACGAGATCCTGCGCCAGCTGCACCTCCACCGCGACGACGACGACGAGTACGGGCCCGGGGAGATTCGCGAGAGCCGCGTCTAGGCGGCCGCCGCCGCCGCCGCCGCAGCCGCCACTCACGTCACGTGCCATGCGAGCAGAGGGTTTTTATTACGTTATTACAAAATGGTGCTGCACTTGTAAATATGCTCAAAGATATACTAGACTCAATAGAAGCTTGACGCTACACCCTTGGGCAGAATCCAAGGCAAACTGAAGTGAAATTTGATATTTGCACAACGTGTACACATTGAGTGTGTAATTGGTGGTGACTGTCGATGTACTGAAGATGGTTTTGTTTCTTCTCTATTCCTAAGAGATGGTGCTCATCCATAGGAGATGCTAATTTCTTCTTCACAATGGTGTCTCTCCAATTACACAGAATTTGTCTGTTAGAGTTGCTTTGAACTAGTCTCTCTTGACAACGAATTTAATGCCATCCTTTTCTTAAGACGGAATATTTAGTTTACTTCTAGCTGTTATTTTCTTATAGAGATGCTGCCTCTTCTGTACCACTAAAATTAGTTATTTTTATGCTACTTTGTGAACATGATTTTTTGTATGAAATGACAATACTGAATTCTAAAGTTAGTATTAGTAAGGAAGGAAATACATATGTTTATGCATCTAAAAAATATTATTGATTGATGAAAAAAAGTTGTTATGAATTGAAAAATAATTTTATTTTTCAATAGACCTGTGCTTCAAATTTATGAAAATAATAGTTAAAACTTTCTATTTACTAGCTATAAATTACCAATTTTTAACACAAACTTGTAGTTTTCATACATAGTACTTTTGCAATTCAATCTTTACCTTTCCAAGAACTTTGAGTGCAGGGATACATTGTTTGTTGTAGGTTGATCAAATTGCTATAATATTAAATCTTGAGCATGATATTAAACAACAGGTACTTGAATATGTTTGTTTTATTTGTTGAATTTTATAATATGCAAGTCAACAATATTTTTTTTATAAATGTATCCAATTTCTTTAATTCTTTTTATAAACAATACTAAACCTTCAATACGTTGCTAATACTCTATGGTGCTTAAAATGGTATTATATTTGAGGCCTAATAAAGTTGCCGAGTTATCAAACGTTACTGCTAATGCACATTTCTGTATTTCATGCTAATGGGATTTTAATTTTCGTAAAAACTTGAGGACATGAATATGATTATCTTGAAATTGTTTGCAATTTTTTTCTCGAATTTGGTCACCAGGTTATCTAGAATTTATGCACAACAGATGTTTTTTCAAAGAAATATATTTTAAACATATTGCTTTTGCATAATTTATTACAAACACTCATTTAGTGCATGGCAGTTGAAATGAATGAAAAAAGTGAAGGTTGCAGTTGTTATTTCTGACCAAAAATATTATTAACGGTAAATGTTCCATATAACATAAGTTCCTGTGATTGTATTTTGCCACAAGTGCCTTTAAAGTTATAGAAATGAATGCAAAATAAATCTAATTACAACAAAGTAAAATACACTGACAAAACTCTTCAATAATATATTAAGAAAAGTATGTAAGTAATATACATAAATGTTTACCAATATTTTCTTTCAAATAGAATGTCTCAGTCATTGATATGTATTTGCTTTCATTTTTTATTTACAACTATTAATAGAATATCTCTTAAAAATCCATATTATTAACATCTTTAGTTTCAAAAATATTATTTTTGGTCAATGCATCATGACTTTAATCTCCTGAGCCTTGACTGATATCTAAAGCTTATATTTCTCTTCTCTTGATCTATATAATTTCATGATCGTATATCAACATTCGTAATATTCCTCACCTGTATTCATCATATATCTGTATATTATTCATCATATCTGTAACTTGAAGGTATGATCTGGCTGTATACAAAACCAGAAGCTTTGAGACATTATATGGAGCAGATACAATTGCAGCATTTTTGGAGATGCAGCTAATGAAAACAGTCCTGAAATTTCTATTAATTAACCTTTTGTTAACTGATGCAAATTACACCACATTATGTAGTTGTAGTTGCGGATGAATGTATATTCCAATTTATGTTCAATATAGATTATTCAAAGTTTATATCTTATTTGTTGTTTTAAATATTAATACTTTAGGCCTACATTAATGTTTGACCCTCCATTAACTTGGATAATTTATTTTATCTGTCATTTGTACAATATTTTAACACTCATCACCCTGCAGGACTTAATCTTCAATTATTGTATTGAATTCATTCTTCTCAAGCTTATGAAATACAAGAAAATCTATTTTAAAGAACTGCTTTGATAATTTTTTATGAGATGGGACTGGGAAGTTAATTTTAAACCAAAAATAAGCATAAATGGCTTGTAGGTCTATTATTCAATAACTCTTTAAAAATAAAAACTTTTATTTGCAATTTTTATAGTTTTTTACAAAAGAGTAAATAAGTTTGCATAGTACTTGGTTTTGTTAATGTCTTTCAAAAAATTTTCAAATTTATTTTTACTCTGAAAAAGAAATTGAAGAACAATTTGAAATTATTTCCAATATGTATTAACAAAGATTAAACATTTTTTATTTTGAAGTATTATTGTAAGAAATGGATTTTCTAGTTCCATCTAATAAAAGTCATGAAAATCCAAAAGTCATTCTTTTTCGGCACTTACACGAAGCACAGAGAAAAGCAAATATCTCAAAAACTAAAAATGTAATTTGATGCATTAATAACAAGAAGTTTCTGAAATATCATAGAGGAAAAAACATTTTTGTCCCATTTTCAGGCAGTTTTATGTAGACAAGCAAGTTAAGTGAGATTTTGGAAATAAAATTCAATGTTGTATTTTTGCAAGTTGAATATAGTATTCATAATGTTCTTCTTTTAATTAGAAACACCAAACCAAAAGATACTGGAATGCAGATCTATGAAAGAAAGTTCTTTTTACCTTAGTTGGATAAAGGAGCTGTTTCTACCTTAAAGGTTCTCAAAATGCAAACAATTGCGTTACCTGTGTTTTATTATTTGTAATTTTAATCTCAGTTACTATTATTGAAGTTTATATCTTATTATAGTTTTTAAATTTAAATGTACATGAATGTTTAAATTATGAAATGTTATTGAAAATATTCGTCAGTTATATTCATTGGCTTATCCAGAGAAAATAATTGGATATATTTTTTTCTTTCTAAATTTGGATATACATTTTTTTTGTCTCCATCTTCAATTCTCTACAATTAAGTTGCAGTTGTAACAAAATCTCATTACTATATGCAATTTATTTATACAAGTTCCGTGTGAAAACCTTAAACATTTTTTTTTCACAGTCATATGAATGAAATGTTGATGTTTAATATTTTATGTTAACAAAAATATTCATGTATCATATGTCATAACCTTTCTCTTCAAACTGCCAAAGAGATAACTAAGAGTACTAAAGGTTAACCAATTGCTCTAAGTATAATGAATTTCCAAAAATAAAATGAATGAAATGTGGATGTAATGGTTTTTTAGTTACCTCTAGTTACTAAATGATTCTGCAGATAATTCTTAACATGTGAGTAAACAAGTAGGACATTTTGTAATAAGTGCTAGATATTAAAATGACTCTTACTGCTTTTCAAATATTTTTATAACATTTATAAATTTTCAGAGAAATGTGAGCAGTTACTGTGAGTTTTTTTTCCCTCCAGTCTTTCATTGCTACTTTAAATGTAATGTGCAATATTATAATTATGGTCCTTTGGTGTTTTCTGAGCTGTAAATAAGTCCTTGAAAACTACATTACATGGTAGAAATTTTATACAGCAATTGTACTTAACTGATATCTATTTCATCTGAAGGTTTTTCATTTGTGACAAACAGATTGGTTTTGTGTCTTCTTTAAAATATATAATTTTACAAAGCATTTTCAAAATATTTTGACTCCTGCCTTGTTACAAAACATTTTTTGGTATTGTGTAATTTCCATTAAAATTTATGAAAAATATCTAAAATACTTTTAAATAATTTATGTTATTGAGTTTTGCACTCTCACATAATAATGAATTACAAGAGCTGAATATCTAAATGTAAATGAAAGAGTAATTATTGAGAAATATTAATGACTTTCTTCTCTTCTTTCTGTCGTATCATTACAGAAGCACATAAGTTCACCATTATATATTTTAATTGAGTCTTCTTTTCAAAACAAAAGTGTTAAACTTATTTACTTGTTGGGGTATTAATCATTGATCTTTTTATTTTAGATAACATTCAAAATAATTAAATTCTTTTGTAGTGCAATTCAGTGGCAAAAAATACAGAGAAAATAATTATTTCTTGGTAAATATCTTGGAACTCCTCCCTCTTCCCCTAAAGTTCTGCCTATGTTTTCTGTTATTTCAAATTTACTGAATCTGAAAAGTTTGTAATTCACATCTTTGTCAGCCCTCATAATACTCAAAGATACATTTTTCTACATTGTAAAAGACCTTGAAGCTTCAAAATTAAGATATAAGGCAATTTGTTGACCCTTTTAAGTTTTCACTACTTAGTAATACAGAAGGGATGGTACTGTATTTGTATTAATTCTTTTAATGTACAGAAAATATTATTGTGGAAATTTGATAGTTTGTACTGACTTTCTGTCTCCGTTTACATATTTAAGGAAAGCAGTGAGAAATCTTAAAAGTACCAATGACGTGGATCTAAGGTCATTAGACTCATGAAATCTGACATTTTTGTGACCGATTTTCTAACAAAATAATTCTGAAATAAAAATCAAACAAGAGCACTTGTATTATTGTTGTTAATTGTTATTGTTAAATTATTGATTTTTTCAATTTACTGATGTCAAAACTTTCTCAAATATAAAAATGAAATTGATTTTGAAATTATATTATTTAACACATTGATATTTTTGGGAAAACACATAATATTCTGACATTAAATTTCAATAAACTTATGTGTACTTGCAGGGGGGGGTGGGAGGAAATGGAGATTTCAATAGTTTTGGAAATCAGGTCTTGCAAGAATTCTTATGTAGAGGTGCATTTCAGCCAACTTCATCTTAAAGCCAGTCTGAACTCATCAGTATTTTTGAATTCATTCTAGTTAAAGATTTTTATTGCCACATTTGTGTTATGCCAAAAGTTGAAAGTATATTCACTTCAAGAAATTGATGCTACCTGATGGCTTCAACAGCTCAAAGAATATTTTTACAATACACACTCACTATGAATAGCAATTTAAACCTCATGTGTATTACCAGAGATATAGTAATAATTGTTATAATATTTGTACATTTCAAATATTATCCTTTTAGGTGTCAGTAATAGGCAGTTTTTCAAGACATAAAGTTTGCATATTAATGTATACCACAGAAAGAGACAATAGAGATAGAAATAGAGCCTTTGTAAATGTTACCTTAAAATATTGTTAAAAAAGATAATGAATTTTAAAATGTAAGTTGTAAGGTTTGAAATTATTTTCATTATGTGATATATGTATTACTCACAGTATGTTTTCAAATTAATTTTTTTATTTCATTTAACACATGTGTTCAAAAAACTCTTAAGAATTATGAGAGAAAATAGACATATTTTGAAATAAATTAAGGAAGCACTCCTTTTGATGTTGGTAATGAATTTGTGCATATTCAGTGAAAAGCTTTTTATCTTCTTACTTTCAGGCCAGACTCAAGCTGGACATTTTTCTGCATCCTATAAATAACACTGCTTTGGCAACATTTTATAGGAAAAGTCAGCATAATTCGCAATCTAAAAGAGTCAAAATGGATTAAAAATATATTGTTTATGAGATCACTTTAAAATAAGATGTACAATAAAGTTTCTATCTAATCCATAAAATTGAATTTCATGTGAATGGTGCTCTTCTTCCAAAACACCATAGATCCTACATACTACTCTTAAAATATACAACATAAAACTCTATTTAACTGTAAAATACTATGTTCCTCCATGTACCATTAACTTCATTGTATGCAATATTTTGACCACATTTCCAAAAAAATGCACTTTTAATAATTTACATATTTAAATAATTTTTAACTCAAGCTCATTTTTTGCTATTATTTTCGTAATTTTTTTTTGTGAATTAATTGCTTATAAAGTATCTGCATTAAAGTTATGAGAGAACTCGTAAGTTAGTTACGAGGTCGCAAGATACAAAGAGACTCATTATTCAGTATCCTTCATAGAATGAACACTAAATCAATGAAAAAGATCCAATTTTAAAGCAAGTGATAGTTGAATATTTTAATATTGTAATATTTTTTAAATATTGGTTTCATTTTTGGCTACAAATACACGCTTTAGCAAAGATAAAGCTAGCAGCTTATTCTGTAAAGCTAAAGTATGCATTAAGAGAAGATTGAGTATCAAACTTAATAACCCCTAATAACCACTCGTGGGACACATGATGTACATATGTTGAATAAGTAATTTAAAAAGATGGTTTGAAAGGTTTAACATCAAACAGTGATTACTAATTGAATATTAGATACTGAAGATGATCATAAAGGAGAAAATTTAAGAAGCAATCAAATCAAATTTTGAAAAAGAAAATTAGTTTTAATGCATCCATTAACAATAAATACTGAAGCCAATTATTCAATTATTTCCTTCTGTACCAATAATACAAGTAACATAATATATATCTATTAAAAGTTTTCTCTTCACTTCTGTCTCGTATTGTACTTCTTTCAAATACAGTAATAAAATATACCTACTTTCAGTTGTATTGTGTAACTTTAAGCTAACGTAACTTCCTTACATCCTCGTATGAGATATGTAATGAAATATTTTGTAATTGTCATACCTATACATGAAAAAAAATTACATCATTAAATATTTTGAGGAATTCTGAGGCAAGATCTTTGTAAAGGTATATTAATATTATTAATAAACATTGACGTTCAAGAAGCTTCTTGAGTTGTACTTTCTGAGTTTAGTATTTAACAATTGGGTTTTAAATAACAGAGGTAAGAAAAGTTTTTCTTTCATTTCTTACTCGATTAAATTTCTCTGGATAATTTTTCTGTACCAGGTAGACTTCCTAATAGGAGATGCATTTGTTAAAATAAGGTTTTGGCCCTCTTATTGTCTTCTGAGACCTTTGATATTCAGAACCTTTTCACAACAAATTGTATTGATAACTTGAGACCAATGCAGTTTTACATCTTTCAAACTGTTAGCAAATATTCAACTTAAAATAATTACTCCTCTAGGGTCTTCAATTAAAATTTAACTAAAATTGCAAAATAATTTCTTTTTCTTGGTTTGAAAAGGCTTTTCTCTAAATTTATTCCATTTTAGACGATAAGTGGTAGTATGATGATTGTATTGAATAGCTGATTATTAACAGCTAAATTATGTTAATGCTTGATTTCGAGGACAGTGTTTTGCCATTGTCTTATTCATCTCTTAGGCAAAATAAAAATCAAGTAGATTACCTACATAAAACTATTCATGGACTCAACTAAATTGTACTTCATTACATAATGTTAGGATGTGGCAGGTCCTATTCCCTCTGTGACATTAAATGCGAAATACAAGTGAACGGAGATTTTTTGTAGCTAAAGAAAAAGGATTACTTAAGGTTTTCATACCCTGAATTTTTTCTCAGGTGTAAATTGTCACTGGGTACTTATGCATTCATAGCATTCATTTACATTCAATATAACAATACGGTAACAATCACCAAAATAAATGTTAACCTTAAAGCTGAATAGAAACTATATGAAAACGTGCTGTAAATCTCTTTGTAAATTGAACGATGACATATTACATATACACACGGTATTGTATATTTCGCCTAGCATTACATGATTCGAAAACAAAGAATATGCGAACCAACTTAGGCAAGCGCGAGATTAATTATTACGTTTGAGATACAACATAAAAAAAAATCAATATATGAAATAAAATAACCTGAACTTCAAACAGTACATCACATACGATCAAAAGCAATCCAAGATTCCATGCTAGAAGTGATGGTTTCAGTAGTTGCGGGTGACATACAGATAAATAACCGTCAAAACTTTGTATGGAAATAGTAAATCTACATGACTAATTTCCCATGCGCCCGGAAACTGAAAGAAATCTGTTCAGACTCCAGCGATGTGAGAGGTGAAATCATTTCGTTAATTACTTAGGAACACGAGAAAAAACAATGAAAGTTTACAATTTAACAGAAAAGTACAAATATTTCATTGTTTTATTTCTTCTTTTTGTCATAATGTGCGTACCGACTGAATTCCCATAGTCACTGCTTACTACACAACTGACGTCATGCGTCAGCAAGGATCCAAGGAAGATGTCGTCTGCCATTACATATTTGCTATTCACGTATTTTTGAACAAGAATTTAAAAAAATATTATTTTATGTAAAGAACTGTTGTACTGTGATCCCTCATAAAGTATATCACGTATATCCTCCAAGAGTTTTTATTAGTTGTTCTTGAGTAGTGTATAATACTTTCTGGAAAGCTACTTTGTGAGGTTTTGTTAAGCCACATTTTAGCTGCTGCAGGCCACTTGTTCCTTATTTAGTAATTTTTACAAAATGTTATTTTAATTAAGCTTTAATATATAACTTTGGGTGTTGCTATGCATTCTTCGAATATGATACAATGTATATCAAGCGCGAATATTGATATTATGTTGGCCAATTATCAATATCCAATCCATGCCAAAATCACATTGACATATAAACTGAGACCAGAATTCAAACCATAATCATTATTTACACTTTTTATATGCCCTCAATCAAGATTTCATTCAGTATGCTCGTGATACACCAAACAGCAAACATACGTGCGCGTTTTCTCACATATCATGGCATTTTTATGTCAAAATATTCTTAACATGTAACTTTGGGAAGATGGAGGGTAAGGCCTTTATTATCCCTTCCCCTTGAATGAAAGGTATTCTTTGGATAGAGAAGTCATGTTTGCGAATTTGAAGATATTTTCTATCTCTAATCTGGGTTTTCAATCACGAATTTCGGAAATACAGTTTATGCTACGATGATTAAGGTAGAGACGTGCATTATGAAAACGGGAAGATAAACACTCTAATGCATTGAATTAACGTTAATTTTTATGCTTGCCCTAAATACATCTACAATACTTTTTTATATGTGATTGAATTTATACTATTCTTTCGATGTCGACGAAAAAAGTCAAAAACAACCTTTGAAAAAGTTTGCTGAAGCTTACATCTTTTCCTGTCTACTCTCTTCATTACCAAAATTTTAATAGTTCCTACCTACTTTTTAATTGTTTCTCATTATTTTCATGAGATTTAGGATCCCATGGATCTCGATACTGGACTGAAATCTGGCACTGTTCCTTTGATGAAAATAGGTACTGAAGACAGCATATGATACTTTTTTTTAAAAAAAATTGGAACCGAATATGAAATTGAACTTGGTATACCGTAGTACATGATATTACATTCTGTAAACGTTTACGAAACACCCTGTGCAGGCCATCTTATGTGACAAACACAATGAACAAAAATTGGATTTTGAAAATCTTTTCCAATTCAAAGAAAATTAAGTCTCACTCAATAAATAAATTAAGTAAAAAAATCAATAAAAATAACGCTAAAAATCGATTGAATTATATAATTTTTTTGCAGAACAATATAACCTCGCAATACAATATTTGGCGCACAATAAAATCCCTTCTTAAATTCGCCCACTCTATGAGGACAACTCGATTGCGGACTATCGGAACGTAGTTCATTGTATGCGTGGTCGTCATGCAGGGCCGCGGGACAAACGACGAATGAGGCGCGATTACTTGAGAGATCACGTGAGATGTCGCTTCGAGCGACGTTTAGTGTCGCGCCATACGACGTCCGAGAGGTTTGTGCTTTTGAGGGCAGCTACTGCCACGGCCCAAGCGACTCGTCGCGAGATCTTCGTTGAAAAGTGCGCTGAAACTGGACATCGGAGATGGTTCCTAACAATGAAGTGAACAACTGGTTCGGTGGATGGACCAACTGATCGTTCCTGCAGTGATGTGAAAATTATATTCTTAAAAATTGCTGTGGTTCTAGAGTGTGTTTATTTTAACGAGTGAATATTGATGTGTGACACGTCTCAAAAGTTTAAAAATCAACGTATATTCTTCAGAAACATTTAAAAGTGAGTATATCTTTACAATTGTAAATCGCGAATAATTGAGATGAATGGCGAAAGCGATTCGTCGAAGCGAAGGAATGCTAAGATAATATCGTTTATTTAAAGAGGGAGGTGCAGCTCCACCGATAAAGCACACGTTTATGATAGCTCCTTCAAAGTATCGCTTTGATTCCGAACTGTCATAGGATCCGCCAAATTCCACACGTAAATTACATTTAGAGCCAAATTCGTACGTCATAAATTGTCAGAAAGTATTTACTCTTTTTACCCTTTTGATGAAATATTTTATTCATGACTTTTGCTGCGTACTTGGTTTGGGTAAGGAAAAATTGGATAAGTTTAGACATGCGGACGAAAAACTTCTGAGTATATAAAATGGAAAATGCATGCATTACGCGTAATTCATGAAAATATTCAGAAATCATACTCTTGAACCTTCATTTGAATTTTCAGCAGTGCGTAATTCTTTGCGAAACTTAAGTGCAATTTTGAAGACATGGGCGTTGTCAAGCAACTAGTTCACTTCAACAAGTTTACTAATTATTTTTTCATTACTAGAATTGTATTATCCTCTTCGATTCAATTGATAGAAGAAATGTGTATCTTATAGTAGCATTTTGTCAGGGCACCAAGAGTGATAAAGATTGAAAGAATGAAAATACCTCAAATCAGCCAGCTAATCGAAACTAAAATTTCTTTCTGTTCTAAACGTTCCGTATTTTTATTCAGTCGACGTTCTTATTTCGCGAATCACACTTATCTCTGAGCTTATTTTATTTCCGGTTAACTATCCAGTTATCAGCACATTGGTGCAATATGTTTATTCGTGACGCGAATCTGATTGCCCACATAACCCACACCAACTTCTAATCATTTATACTTACTCATCCTCCGTTATTGTTATACGAATCTTTCCTTCAAGACGTCTAGACTCAGTCTTCTCCACAAAGACGCCTTGGTCTATGGTGCACAACTTCAAAGAGAGAAGTGAAAATACATCAACATTTTAATTGTATTTTGCCTTGATGGCAAATATATTTCTCGACAACTTTGCCACACGTTATGAAAAAAATCTTTGAAAACGACCAACAACGTAAGAAAAGGACCAGAAAATTGAAGACAATTCTAGAAGACTTCAGTAGTCTTCAACTGGCAAGCGTAACTATTATATTTAGTAATCACCTTTTTTAAATAATTTTGTTTTTTAAATGCACCTCAATCAGTTCGCCAGATTGTAAAGATGGCTTGGTCTGAAAAATAGTTTCTAGATGAAATTAAAGGGTTGGATTTAAATAACGATACGAAAATGGATTGAAAAAATCAGCAGCAATAACAAATAGAAGAGAGCCAAATATTTTAAAAGATGTGTTGCGCTAAAAAGTGCTCATCAATAGTATGGCACTTCTATTTTGCGGAATTATAATTGCTAATTTAGATGTGATCATTTGCTGATTATATCTGAATTAAAATTGTAAGATGTCTCAACAACGATTTTTTTTATTTTTACATTAACAAATAATGTTTAAATAAAGTTTAACTATGAATCTCACTACGGGCTCGGGCGTGATGTATGAGCAAAACATACCTGAGGACTTGTTTTCACCGCCAATAAGGTCTCTCCTTCAAAATGTTCTTATTCACGTACGTAAGCTAACGGTTAAAATATTATATATAAAATATTTTCGCAAAATTCCGGAAAGATATTGCCGTGTTGTGGTGATGTGCGTAAATCTCTTAATAAATTAATTTTTAAATAAATAATTAAACGCTACATAAAACAAGCAACATTTCTGTGAAAACAAAGAATCAACGATACTCGTATAATGGCATATTACCTAATGGCCATTAGGCACCTTCATGGTGTTTCCTCTTAAATTCCTACCTACTCCCGCATGACGATTAGATCCTGACGTGTCTGATATTTACTCCTTGACTCTTTCTGAGAATTAAATTTCTGAAATGATTACATTAATGCACTTTTGCATATTTTTTATTTTATTTTAACTATCTTCGCTTATCAGTTTGATTTATTCCCAAGCAAAGGAAGAATGAGTTAAATTATATATTTGGAACGAACTATCTGTAAATACGACGAATTTTTCATCTCACCCACTCGACATCAAGACCTCGCGATTCGCGAATTTCACCCGGGCTACGTTTGATTAACGCGGCGTTGTTATCGCTATCCAAAATGTATGTCCGTGTTGAGCACACAAAACTACCATAATTCACAGCAGGCCCCACTTAACGAGTCTCAGCCGGTTGCGTCGCGTGGGCGTCCCGGCCGAGACAATTTCCACTCACGCTGCGCCTCAGGGGGAAGGCCAGGGGGGAAGGCAATCACAGCCCCCTGGGCGGGACGAAGCGCCGCGCCGCGCAGCGCCGCGTCGCACAGCGAGTGAGCCCTTATCGATTTTAGGAGGGTCAACTACTTAGGTCATTAGACCCGTGAGTGTATTGTTGTATCCCGTCTCCCGTGCTGGAACGTAAGATGCGGCGTCAACCTTGACATCTGCCTGCGAGGAGATTCTCACACCAGGTATCTCTCCCAGCAGGGCACCGGGAACACGCTAGCTTCTGGCTGGTCTCTACATGTGTGCTAGTGTCGTGCATCGAAGTGTAAGCGGCTGCTGTGGTAAAAGGGCGGGAGGAGGGGGCCCTGACTGACACTATTATAGGGGGGACTGAATATTATTACTTAAATGTATATAATTTGAATACTTTAATTAAAAAATTGTGTATACTGATACCAATGATATTTCGTAATTTAATTTACTTAATTAATTTACTTTTCTTCGGTTGTACGTTGTATAGAAGAAAGCTACTGGAATCGGTCCAAAACTTCTTAAGACAATTAATTCTACCCTATGCAGGGCTATAAATCATAATTTATTCCTGTTTCTTGACAAATAATCACCGACTAAGTTAGCGCAGTGCCAGATTTACCGTTGCCTCTGCAGGAATCTTCACGGGAAAGGCCTAGGCGAGTCTGATTGGTGGCGGATTTTAGACTGTGACTGTAGCGTTAGGTCTCATTCAGCCGCTATGTGGAGTAGAAATCAAGTGAAAAGGTGCTCTGATTGGAAGCTTTCCGTGGTTTCTCGAATCAATACTAGGCAAATGCTGGAGCAGACACACGGGCCACGGACTGTGCGCAATCTTTCCTCCCCCTTCCTTGCCATATTCTCATCCCTTGCTTACACACTCACAAGCACAACCCACCACACATATCAAGAAATCAGTCGGGAGTTTAGAGCTTGCTGTTTTGTTGTCAGGGATACATAAATAAAGTATACAAATTGTGCACTTTAATACACTCATGTTTTAGAAGTAGTGAACTACTGTCCCAATAGAGAAAGTAAACGTTTTAATTCACAAGTGAATAAACGTAATATTTATTTTGTCAAGTACGACGAGGTAAATGATCGTTTAGACGGCTGTAATAGGTAAACACATTAAATAATTTGAATACTTTATATAAAAAAATTAACATTACCAAATTTTTAAGCAGTTAAAAGCATATGTCTTAATCGAAAACAATATTTTTGGAATATGTACAAAAAACAATCAATTAAAATCATATTGCTGGAAACTTTAACATTGGAATTTATGGCGTGTAATTGCATTTTTTTGCAGACCAATAGATTAGAAGTCGTACAATGAAAACTAATAATGCTACAACACAGCACAGTCTTTATCGTAATATTTGTACGGTATCTCTTCCCAACATTGTTTTAGCAAACCGTTTGTATGACAGCGCACTGCATCCATTTCTTAACTTCTTCTAAGGCACCATAAGGAAAATTGTCTATATTGTTGAACGTAGAGGCAACAATCCATTTATCAGAGCCGACTGTACATCTAAATGCCATTAAAAATTAGTTGCTAAAAATCCTGCGTATGGTTTAGGCGCTAACGCAGTTCACAGTTAGACAAAAGAACAATTTCATCGATGCCTTGACCCCAAAACGTGTATTTCCATCAAAATCGCGAGATACATTTCTTTTTGCAGAAATTCATAACTTTTAAGTCTACGTAAACGAATGGAAAATAAAATAATGGTAAAAAGTGAGCTACAACATTACTTTCTGACGTTATTTGCAACCGTGACATAGAATTATAATAAACATATTGCAATTGATATCCACGAGTCAAATGAAAATGAAATATCGGCCTCTTTAATTTAGATAGCGTCATGGAGGAAGGGTACAAGTTCTCGCAAAGTAGAGAGGTGCAGTTTCTACCAGCCGAAGGCGTTCTACTATTTGACATTCATCATCGTATGAAGACGGCGTTTGTGGAGATCTGCATGTCACTGGCGCCCGTGTATGCATGGATACTTGTAAAGCGATTCCTGCACGGGACAACATCAGCTGAGGGCGAGCCGCATCTTGGTTCGTCCCACGTTTTCGTCAACGCAGAGAATGTTTCAGCAGACGATCTCACTGGGGCAATGGGGAGGGGGGGGGCATGCGGCCGACGTCAACATCAGTCATGAATATGCATACGTAATAATTGATGACGATAATACACTGAAGGGTGCGCAAAGTGGGGGCCGAAATGTCTTAAAGGCGAACAGAAACAATACGGAATGGAACCGACAATGTGTTTGGAACATGTGAGCCTTTATGAACAGGAGCTGGGTGCATTCTTGAAACGTATAATGACGGAGGATGAAACATGGCTCAAGAACTACGAAGCAAGGAGTAAGTGCCGAAGCATACAGTGAGAGTACAACACTTCACCACGACTTCAAAAGTTCAGAAACTTTCCACAAGCAGACAAGGCGATGCTCATGATGGTTTTTGACATGCATTACTCTGTCACTTTATGAGGAAGAGAAAAAAGAACTCTTCCCTCCTCTGGATACTTCGAAATCCTTCAATCAGATTTTCTTGGGGTTCAACTGGACATTTGAGTGAACATATCATTTTGTTGTAAGACTATGCGCGACCACAGACACTGCTCTGTATACCATAGAAGCCATTTGATGCTTTCATTAG